CTGCTTCAATGAATCAACATTTAGTGCTGGTGGAAGAGTTATGGGTGCTTATCAGGCAAGTTTGGCTGAAAATATGATTCAAGCATTAATATGCGGTGCAGATTAGTTACGTAATAAGTATGACATAAAGAAAAAATAGAAGATATTAATTTACTTAATTTAAATTATTTTATATCTTATGATATTATAATTGAATGTCAAAAATAATTTGACTTTTTTTTATATATAAGAGGAGACAACATCGCAATATATTAAAATGTTGATATGAGTATATTAAATTGTTTACGCAAAATTTATAATATTTTATTCTTTTGGATATGCAGAATTTTGTACTATTTAGTTTATTTGTTAAGCAGATTTTTTGAATAATTTTGTTTTATATTATGTTGTTTGGATATACATTGAATTTATGATTTTGTGTGAAATTATTAATATAGTTGATCATATATTTTATTTGGGTTTTAATTTTTTTTAACAAGCTGATCGGCTAAGCCAGACTTTTAATTTTTTTTAAATAAGTCAGCCTATAGACTGATAATTATATTCATAACAGGTTGCAGGTTTAGACTAGTCTGACATATTTAAATACAGACTTAATCTTTCAAAACCAAAATTCGACCGTTAACACTAGGGGTGGTAAACGAGCCAGGGGCCTTTGGCTCGGCTCGTAAAGGCCTGAGCTCGTTTAATAAAAGCTCGTGTTGGAACCAGGCTTGGACATGTATAAAAGCTCGTTTAATAAAAAGGCCTCAGGCTCTAATTCAGAAGCTCGGTCTTAGAGCCTCCCAAGCTAGCCTAGTATATAAATATTTATTTATACTTTTTATACTACTTGTAATAACTCTCTTTCATCAATTTATTTCACCCCATTTTAGTGGTTTAACAGACTTTTTGAATGATTTTGTTCTATATTATACTATTTGGATATATATTGAATTTATGTATATTTATGGAATTACTAGTGCTGTTCTATATTATCCTTCATCCTCCTTCACACAAACAAACCCACAAAAACTCATTCGTTCCACTGTGCACTGCTCGTTTGTGTCAATTTATTTTTTATTTTTTTTATTTTATTTTTATTTTTGTTGACACTTTTTTTATAATGAGCTAAGATAATATAACCTGTTATCTACCTTCTCTCACTTTAATTTTATTTATTTATTGTAGACTTTGTAAATTATTGCTGCAAATTGGAAGAGGTTTCTATCTGGAAATTGATTTTTTGTGAAATTCTGTTCTCTTATTTTTATTCTTTAACATGCTAACAGGCTAATACAGGCTTCACACAGGCTTTTATTTTTTGTAAATAAACCAGGCCACAGACCAATATTATATTCGTAACATGTAACAGGCTAAGGCCAGTCAGACATATTTAAATACAGGCTTGACCCGTTAAGATCAAAACTCGACTCGGCTCGGCCCGTTAACACCCCTAGTTAACACCTGTACTAAACTATTTTAACATACCTTCATGCGAGAAAATTGTAACTGGTTAACGGGTTTAAAATTATAATCCAACCAACGAAATTGAACGGGTTATATTCATTTTGTAATTTTTAAATCGCTAATGAGTGGACCTAAATATTGTATTAGTTAACAACGCGTCCAAATGGTCCAGTTCGATAATGAAAATTGAAAAAAAAGAAAGATATTCTAATTAATTTTTCCAAAATTTAAATACTTATTTAATTATAATTAAACTTAAATAAAATGTCACTTCTAGTCAGCTAAAAAGTTCACCATTCAGAAATAACGCCTTTTTTTTAAAAAAATATATAGCTAAGGAAAATTTCATTTATTTTAGAAAATTCAAACAAGAAAAATCCCTCCCCCACATATATATAACCTAATACGCTATAATTATTATTTAACCCATTATTGAAAATGAATATGAATACTGTAGTTATTTAAAATATTTATACATTTTTAGTCACTTTTCACACTATTTTTTAAAAGTTTCGTTAAATTGTTAATTACGATATCACATAGATTTTAGATAGAGTTTTAAAGATACTTTAAAAATTTTAAATTATACATAAAATTTTATGTTTGTTATGTTACATGGTGTAATATAACTTTCCTACACAAACAATTTTATGTGAGTCTCATTCCTTAATCTTTCTCTCTCTTTTCTTCTCTCTCCTCTCTCTTCTCAATTGTCTGTAAGAAAATTATGTTACATCATGAAACATAACAAACATAAAACTCTTATACATATTATTATTATTTTCAATTTATGAATATGTTGTTGTTTAGTTTATTTAAACTGCCATTTTCATATTGACAGCATCTGGGTCTGGAAATCGTCATGTTGGACCTTTCTCTTCAGCATGTGGCTGCTGGCCCAATCAAAACATGGAGTCCAGTCTATCTCTCTCTCTCTCTCTATTTGGTCGAACTCAACTTCCTTCCTTTGTTTTTGTAATATTGTTTTCCTATTCTTTTTTTTTTAGTACAATTGTTTTCCTATTCTTATCATCCACCGCCAACTACACTTGTGAACCGAATTATGGTATTGCCATGTGTCAGTTAGACATGTTTCTAAACAAAAGGAGAAAATTTTTGGGATGTAAGTTTTTCAATCTCTATTATTATTATTATTTGGCAAAAGAAACAAGCAAAGAACAAATTAAAAAAAAAAAAAAAAAAACCCTACGAGGTCTACTGACATAGGATAAATAAACTAAGTACGAGAGACTTATTTCAGTGGATGGTAAAAGCGGAAGCTGATCCAAGGGGAAATTAAACAACATTTTTTCTACTACTAAAATTAACTATATTAAGAATCATGTTACATCAAAAATAAAAAATTACATGAAATAAATACAACGAAGTAAAGTCGGTGCAGTGCACTGAAAATTTATAGCTATGCCTACGAGCGAGCGGTTGACCAAGATTAGTTTATCCAATGATTTACAACTACATGTGCTGATGTGCACTTTTTAAGTGAGAGGTGGGCATTTAAGTGTGATAACGGTGTAAAAGGAATTGAATAATGGAAAGGGTTCAAGACTTTGAAAAATTATATTTTCTTCCACATTATGAAATTAACACAAAACGAAAGGTTTGAGGAAGAATAATAGCATAAAGGCAAAAGACAAGAAGGTTTACATTTTCTACACTCGGAATTTAAATCTTCTTCTTCACCGTCAAGTGTCCATGTCAATCAAGGTGCTTACTAGATATATGAGCATATTTTCAATACTCGTGTAGTAGAATAGTAGATAGTTCTTTATTAAAAATAGAAAGAAAAAAAATTAGAATTCAGATATTATTAATTATAAAAAGAATAGATAAATACAGTTAGGTGAATTTTATTTTTTTCCTGTTTAAAAAGCGATGCACCGAATAATAAGTAATTCAAGAGTGCTAAAAGTATTTTATACGAATAGATAAATAAAAGAGTAAGTCAATTCAATAGAGTGCCGGCCCAAGCGAGACACACGTTGCGTAGAAAAACAAAATTGTGAAGTTTAAGGTTAAGTTTGAATTCCGTTTTCAAAAATAATTTTTTAATTTTTAAAATAAAAAATAATTTTTTTTGATAATATTTATTTTATAAAAATAATTTTAAAAACTATATCTAAATATATGAATTTAGTTGAATTTTATTTTCAAAAATAGGTTTTGAATTTTTAGATCAAAAAATAAGAATACTTGTTTGATAAGGCTTGTTTTTGTTTTGTAAACAATTTGCTTGATTGTGTTTTTTTTTTTTTCTTAAAATTATTTTGTAGATTATTAAATGAATTTTTTTTTTAAGTTAAATGTCATAACACAAAACAAAAACAACTTTGTTTTGTTTTTATTTTGTCTTTTGACTTTTAACTTTGAAAATAAAAAAAACATAGAAAACACTTATTTCATTAATTATTCTATAAAATAATTTTAAGAAAAAAAAAAAAACAATCAAACAGAACCCATATTTCTGTTTTGTATTTTAACTTTTAATTTTTGAAAAACATATATACAAAAAACGCTTATTTCATTAACTATTTTATAAAAAGTATGATTATATTTACAAATTTTTTTATTTACAAACTATACTATATACTACCCGTAGTACATAATATAATTTGTCAAAGTTTGTAAATATAATCTACCATTTTTACAAAATAATTTCAAGGAAAATAAAAAATCAAAACACAATAAATAAGCAGAAATCATGCTCTCTGGGACACGAGAGCAGAATTTTTTCATGCTCAAAGTTCGTTTTATGTGTCAATTATTTTTTTTTTAATATAAAATATGAGACACACCTTTAATTTGTCTCTATTTTTTTTCTGATGTTGTCCTACAACATAAGAAGACATGAATCTTTAAATAAGCCCTAATTTTTTTGTCTGAAGCAAATGTTTAAAGATACACACGATCTAAGAGAGTGAATCAGATGGTAGTGTCGTTATTATTGAGTTTTTTATTTTATTTTTTATGACAAATAACTAAATAAGTTATTAATTTGGATTGCTTCAACTTTTCAAGATTCCATCAGCTTAAGAAAGTAAAACGGCATGCCAAAACCAATTAAGCAGGGGGGACCGTGGCGTCTGTTACTTATTTTTCACGGTTAGGTTAGAAACTTTCGTGTTTGTAAAATAATGGAAGCAGCCTTTCTATTTTATTATAGAATTGTATAAACTATATCCATTGGACGCTGGAGGCTTTTGCATGTGGCATCATATTGTATTTCCAAATAGAACCACTTGCAATAATATAGAAAGCAAGCCTTTCGTGTAAATGATGCTGCAATTAAATAAACACTAACAACTTGTCAGAAAAAGCAAGGATTAGGTAACCATCAATTTCATTTTCAAAAGGCTTAAAAGACCATATAATTATTAATTATTATCCATTTATCCATCAAATTATCAAAAGTCAACCCCGTGTTGTCCATTGTGTACACACACTCTAATACTAATAAATATAGGGGCCATGAATGTGCATCATCATTATTTACCTATTTTTCTTTCATTGAGGATCTATACAGCAAGAGAGATATGGGGGTCTGTTTTTCGTGCAACTCATCCTCCACATTCAAGAACATCCGTGTTGTTCATCTTAATGGTTATGTAGAGGATTTTGATCAACCCATTTCAGCGAGGCAAGTTATTGGCAATCCACCAAAGCACTTTGTTTGCACCTCCATTCAGCTTCTTTGCTCTTCCTCACAACAATTGAATGGAGATACACAACTCCAACCTGGCCAAGTGTATTTCGTGCTACCATACTCAGTACTACAACCTGATGTTTCTCCTGTGGACTTGGCTAGCCTTGCAAAGAAGCTAACCGCAATAGCCAAAACCAAGCCATGTGAGTCCCTGAAAGCTACTAGTTCTATGTCAAGCCAAAATGTTTGGAGTTCACCTTCCATGAGTCCTGGAAGATTTGGGGTGACAGAGCAATATGATATGAGTATGATGAATAGAGGTCGAAGCCCTTGTAGAGTGCAGCCATGGAAACCTATCTTGGACTCTATCAGTGAGAAGTCACTCACTCGGAGGAGTGAATCAGATTTGCAAGATAATAATTAGTGTTTGCAGGACCTTTGTTGTATTGATTCTAAATAAAGAAAAAAGAAGTTTGAGACAATTTTGTTTACTGACCCTTTAATCTTATCAGGAGAATTAGGCAGCCCATAATATATTTGAAATTTTTTTGCATCTGATTTTCCTATGAGGTTAAGCACTGGAAATTATGGATTCCATATCCAAATCTTATTAAAATTGGAATATATACGAGATATAGGTTACCTTAAATTGTTTGGTTAACTCTTTTAAGATGTAGTTTTTGTTTTTTCCATGCAATCTTCCAGTTATTGGAAGTGCATACATACAACTTGGATGATTCTTTTCCTGCTAATGAGTCATCACTAGAATTCACAACCAATACAAGGTGGACTTGCTGCTTTTTGTAACAAGCAGGTTGGTCTAGCTACTGATGAATTTGACAATATTACAATTCCTTTTGTAGTTTTTGAAAACAAATAGAAATAGTACTAATAATGTAGCCATTCTTCTGGTATGAACAAACATACAGGTAACGAATTACAGGGTAACCATAGGGGCGTCTGGGACCCACCTTTGAATTGGTGAACAGTCCCAGCCCTCTTCTTTGCTATGAGAAACTATAAAGTGTTTAGGAACCCAAGTTTCCCCTTTTAACTCCTTTTCTCTCAGGAGCTCCCTCTGCCTTTCCTCCACATTTTTCTTTGCTTCTATTGCTTTTTCCCAGTCTTTGCTCAGGATGGCTTGGCTCAACTCACTCCAAACAAGAGCAGATTCTGTTGGCCACACACTCTGATAAAGTACAACAGAATCTCATATCAAACTCAGTAAGACATGCACATTCACAATATCCACTTCTTATTGCTTTTTCATACTTTGACTTCATAAAAGAAGACAAGGGCTTTTGAATTGAAAGGTCTTACTTCGTGGGGGGAAAAAGAAGAAGACAGAGATGGAACCAACACATGCAATTGAAATACAGATTTGTTACCTCTGGATCCTTGACAATAGGAGCTTGGAGCCCTGAAATAACTTCTTTTGCGTCATATATCACTGTTACTTTTGCATTAGTTGTATCCTTCACTGTTACAGTACTGCAGCATTTTATAGGATTTGGAAACATATCATCAAAATAATATAAGTAAACAATTGACAGCCACTACTTTTTAATATGCAAAATAAGCAAAAGGACATGCTTTCAGATGACAAATAGGAAGACAAAACTTCAAAGTAAGATACCTATCCCAATGACCATCAATTTTATATAGAATCTTCATTGACAATGAATCAAAGATCTTCCCTTTTATGAGTCTTCGATTTCCACCAAATCCAAAGAAAGATTGAGTTATGTAGCTTAATTCTGCCACAAGGCCTGTCTCTGGGCACCGGATACTGACATTGCCAACCCAATCAATCCCAGGAACTGGAAGAATTCTGATAAAGAGATGAGGAGAATTCATTTCATAAGTCTCTCCATGATTGTGGAGCTTCAGTATCCGTTTGCCATGCACCTTGCCTTCTACTGAAGTACCTGCATATTTGGTTTTGTTATGTATACGCAAAGTTAATCACAATTCAAAAGTTTCAAGTAACAAAACATCAGTTCCAAATGAATTGTGGCACAATATTGAATACACATTATCACACAACATATGTGCTTAAGAATTTTACCAGTGAACTTAGGAACAGGAAAATGGCACCATATCATTTCTATGTTTTCCTTCTCATCAGTTGCATGGAGGGCAGATACCGGAGGGTGGTGTGAAACCTTCAACAAACATGTAAATCCAATTATCCTTCTTTTTTTTTTGGTATACATATTTATGGCCACAAGACCATGACATAAAAACATGTGATCAACAATAACATGATAAAGATTTTAAGAAATTGGAGGGCAAAAAAAAGAAAAAAACAAGTACCTGTTCCAGCAAGACGTTAAGGTTTCCCTTGGAAACATGGTGAGTCTCACCAAGAATGGAATTGTAGGGAGCAACTCCAAATGTTGCAGGGCGTGTGGTGGAAATGCTCCATGCAACAACAGATATGAGTCTATCAAGCGGTGTTTTGCCAGTGTTGAGTTTGCTTAACAAGTCTGAAGCTGTTGAATATACAGATTCAGCGTAGCACTGAAGTTGTGACTTTGGCATGTTGAACACAGGTGGCAACTGCACCAACAAACAAAGCCACTCTCATTTTATTTTATTGTTTATGAAACAAATATGGGCCTAACAACATCCAGCCCATATTTCAATCTAAGATATGAACACCTGTGTCACTTGCCTGCATGATTTGGCGGTGTGATGATGTGTTATGTTTTTATAAGGCTGGTGTGGATATTTATTATATGCTGCTTTTATTAATATTAATAATGTGGTATTTTAATTATTTAAATAACAAAGATACTAAGTAATTTAAAAAATAAGGAGAAATTCAATTGAAGGTAAACGTAAACTTGCCTTGTAGCATGAGAGGTCAGATCCTGGGTGCACATTCTTAAAGAGACTTAGTATACGCTGCAAAATATTTGGAGCTTTATAATTGGCATCGGAATCTGATTGGCTTTCCAGTGTAAATGGCTTTGTGAGCACAATTTTTGTCGCCTACACGACAACACCGAGACAAGAATCACATAAGAAATTTCATAAGATGAAAGATAGAATCAAAATATTGTGTACGTACCATATGTATCCGAAATTTGATGGCCACACAACACAACTGGTACGTATATAAAACTATGTGCAGCAGAATGAGTTGGTGCTGCTTTTATCAAACTTGGCCTATCAAATGGAATAGACTTGTGAAACTCACTGTGCATATGGGTGGGTGCCTATAAATAGTTGCTTTTGCTATCTCATATCCCCTCCTTTATTCTTCTCATCTTTTTTATTTTTTATTTTTCTACTTTATGGGAAAAATAAAGAAAATAATTAATTAAAGACATATAGTGTTTATGTTCAATGCATTATTTCTTAAAATGAGTTTACTTAATAAAAAAGTTATAGAATCGATTTCCATTGGTGAACTTTTATTAATAAACCATTTAAATTAATATGCAACTTTTTTTAACTTTAAAATGGCATAACTTTTCTTTTAAACTTTTGTATGGTAAAAAAAAGTTTGTCATTAACTTGGAAAATAAATCCAGACTAGGGTTAACATGGGCTAACTATCATCAACTAATTGCTGTAATTTTTGAGAAAAATACGACATGCATATAATACTAATACAGGGAATATCCAAATCTCCCATGGATTTTTTTTTTCTTCATGAATTCTTCGATTCATCTCTCATTTATCTTACCTCAATGACTTTAATCTTTTAAATATTTCACAAAAATTTAATTACTATTATGTTTGAATTTTTCGCGATATGTGGATTTTATTAAATAATTATATTTTAGTATTTCAAACTTGGATTAATAATATTTTAATTTAGTTAAAAAAAAATTAAATATTCTAATCGATTCATCGCTTCGCAACTTGTTCGATTTGGGTTGAATTCAAGATTAAAGCTTTTAACCTCTATCAATATTTATTTAAATCTATTTTGATCATGTTATGTTTTTGGACTTAGGACATCTGATTCGATTGGGCTAATTAAGTAATATAGTACATGCTTTAATGTGACATGGGATTTATATGACTAGTGGATTGAGTAGATAAAGACTTTATGACAATAACTCAGTTAATGTTTTAATGAATATGAGAGTATATATTTAATTTTTCACAGTATTATTTTTGAAAAAAATTTAAAATCTTAATTCAAAATTCGGTCTGAATTAAATGAATCGATTAAAATATTTTTAAAAATATAAATAAAGACTCTACTGAATAGGGATTATTGGATAAGTTCTGTCTTTATTTTTTTAACATTCATCATTACGACAGTACGTTACCATTTGCCGTAAAAAATTTCTATTTATATTACAGGATTTACATTTGTCATTTAACATAACAAAACAAATTTTTCTACACACATAATATTTTGTGAGGTCCATATTTTTTGAAAAAAAAAATAAAAAATTACGGCACGCAAAACGAATCTCTATAATATTACACAATCACTCTTCCTACAATATAACTTTTATAAAACCCTATATTATAATTTCGCTTTTTTTTTTTTTACATTTTTGAAGAAATAATGGAGCTACAGCCTAAAGAAAACTACGTCGGTCAACCACCTCTGATAGATTTCATTTTAAAATTTTATACAATATTTTCATGTGAAAATTTTATATCTATTTTATTACAAATATTAAATAAGTAATTATTTTTAAATTTGAAAATAATAATAAAAATAGGCGTAGGCCAGAAATTTTCAACGTGAAATTTTAATATAAAAAAAAGATTCATTCCTTCAAAATGAAGGAATCATCTAAAAACTGGACAGACACGATTCTTGTTAACAAGATTAAATATATGACTTCTGACATAAGAGGATATTTCTGGCAAAAAATAACAGATATGAAGGACTAAGCACAATATTAACATGAGAAGATCTATAACAAGATTAAATGATTTCTGACATAAGAGGATATTTCTGGCAAAAAGTAACAGATATGAAGGACTTAGAACAATATTTACATGAGAAGATATATACCATAAATTCGTGTCTATCTCTTTCATAGATAGATAGATAGTGTTAAAGCGACGAGCTTCAAAACTGGATGAACATACAAAAATGAAACAAGAAAATTTAAGCCCCGTTTGATACACAGATTTTTTTTGAATTTCCGAGAAATTGAAATTTTTAAAATTTTAAATTTTTCAGATATTATCGTAAATTGAATGTAAAAATTATATTTTTGAAAATCAGATTTTCGGACAAATAAAAATTTCTCTTGTACCAAACGCTCCCTTAAAATATTTGACTTTGCCTCGGGGTCTGAGTTATCCAGGAAGGCACGTGGACCACATGAGCACACGTGTGAGCATCCAAGGACCCGAAATCCATGAAGCCAATAGTAAATTAGTAATAGGTTTAAAACTAGGGGTGTGCAAAAAAATTGATTAATTTGCCCTGTCCTTGATCCGACCTTGACCCGATCCATAAATATCCATATTTTTTGAACTGGTTTAAATACTGACCCACTTTTATTTGGGTCAGTTTTAGACCTGACTCGCTTTAATATTGACCCACTGACCCAAAACTTGACTCATACCCATTATGTGAAAAAAAATCACAATTACATTAAAAGAAAAGTTTTAACGTAAAACAATTATGTCAAAATTTTTTATGGAAAATATTTTCATAAAAATTTTCGCAAAATTTTTTGACGAAAAATATTTTCCTCAAAATTTGTGACTAAAAACATATCGGTAAAAAAATTTGACGGAATATTTTTTTTGTCAAATTTTTTTACGGAATCTAAATTCCGTCAAAATATTTCACAAAAAATATATTCATAAAAACTTTCGACGAAACACATTTTCATCGAAATTCTTTGACGGAAAAAAATTTCATCAAAATTCTTTACAAATTTCAAATTTCGGCGAAAGTTTTCGACAGAAACATTTTCGTTAAACTTTTTGACAAAAAAAAAATTCGTCGAAATTTTTAGCGAAACACATTTCTATCAAAAAAATTTCGACTAAATATTTTCGTCACCTTTATTGATAAAGAATATATCCATCAAAATTTTCAAAGGAACACATTTCTGTAAAAAAAATTAGTAAAATTTTTTGACAAAAATATTTTGATAAGAGATTTTGACAGAAAAAATATTTTGTCTAAATTCTTTAGAGAATCTAAATTTCGTCGAAAGTTTCAAATGAAACATTTTCCTCAAAACAATTTCCATTGAAAATTTCGACGCAACACAGTTCCATCTTCATCAAAATTATTTACAGATTTCATATTTTGGCGAAAGATTTCGATGAAAATATTTTCGTCATTAAAAAATTTTGACGGCAAAAAATTTCATCAAAAGTTTTTACAGATTTCAAATTTCGGCGAAAGTGTTTGACGGAAATATTTTCGTTATCAAAAAATTTTGACGGCAAAAAATTTCATCAAAATTCTTTACAGTTTTCAAATTTTGGCGAAATTTTTTGACGGAAACATTTTCGTCATCAAAAAATTTTGACGGCAAAAAAATTCATCAAAATTCTTTACAGATTTCAAATTTCGGCGAAAATTTTTCGTCGAAATTTTTAGCAAAACACATTTCCATCGAAAATTTTCAACTAAATATTTTCGTCAAGTTTATTGATAAAAAATTTCCATCAAAATTTTAAACGAAATACATTTCTATAAAAAAATTCCGTAAATTTTTTTGACAAAAAAAACATTTTGACGAAAAAAATACTCTGTCAAAATTCTTTAGAGAATCTAAATTTTGTCGAAAGTTTCAAATGAAACATTTCCCTCGAAATAATTTCCGTCAAAATATTCGTCAGAACACATTCCCATCGAAATTTTGAACGAAAAACATTCCGTCAAATTTTTTGACAAAATTCTTTTTTCGTTTAAAATATTTGATGGAAGAAATCATTTTCGTCAAAACTGTTGACGGAAACTAAATTTCAATAGAAAAAACTTTTTTGTAAAAATTTCGACGAAAAAATAATTTTGTGACGAAATTTTCGTCTTTTGCAACATAAAAATTTCGACAAAATTTTGTGAGAAAACTAAGTCAAAAACGGGTCAGGTCAGATTTGACCCAGTTCAGAAACCAAGTCAGACCCACTTCAGAAACCAAGTCAGGTCAGATCCAAACTGGTTCTGAACTAGTTCAACAAAATCCAATCCAAGTCAGACCTGACTTGGATTAAATTAAAGCGGGTCGGGTCAAAATACCTGACCTATAAAAACCAAGTTGGGTCGAGTCGGACAAAAACCTGACCCGACCTGACCCATGCACAGCCCTATTTAAAACCATCATTTCCTATCTATTTCGCGTCTCTGTAAACCTATAATAGTTTTTCAGATGCCACCTCATCATATGTATCTATACATATCTATCTATTTTACGGGAAGATTTTTTGTGGTCTCGTTCCACCGTTGACTCTATAAGATAGATCAATCAAAATCTACCATTAACTGAGGAGAGAGGACATTGGAATTTTTTTTTAGAGTAAATACTTTTTTTAGTCCTTAATAAAAAATACGGTACTCATTTTAGTCCCTTATAAAAATAAATTAGTCAGTTAGTCCCTAACAAATTCAAAGTGAACCTATTTAGTTGAAATCGTGGTCCCTCACAAATTCAAAAAAAGACCCATATTAATCCCTCAAAAGTACTAAAATGGGTCCACCTTGAATTTGTTAGGGATTAACTTACTAATTTATTTTTGTAAGGGACTAAAGTGAACACCGTATTTTTTGTTAGGGATCAAAAAGAGTATTTATTCTTCTTCTTTTTATTCCAAATATCCTCCTCTTAATGGAAGGAGCATTTGGGCTACGACAATTCTAAATTTTCCTTTTTTACATTTCTTAACTGATAACATTAATAGTGAATATCTTTTTCGATCCTCAATAAATTTTATGATATTCGCTTTAGTTTCTAATAAATAAAAAAGGTATTCGTGATCTCTAATAAATTTAAAATGGACTCATTTTATTATTGCCCATTATTCTCTTTGTAAGTAGGCCAGTACTTACACAATATAATTTAAAAAACATAACTTCATATCCAATAATTTAATCCATGTTGTAAAACATATATGTTTTACATAGTGAATGACTATCTTCATTAGGTGTTATTAGGTAGCATAAGATATGTCTTTTTTTTTTTTTTTGAGATAACCAGGAAAAAAGAAACAGCAGAAAAAAAAAACAGCATAAGATGTCTTTATGATTATAACCGTTTGTATTCTTAAATAATGGTGCATTAACCTACCTGTTATGTACTTGTGTAATCTCTTATTTTTTTATTCCTATAAAAATATATGTATCTTATGAACAAGAAACAAATATTATAGCTAGTTCACGAAGAAATAGACTCTTAGAATCCATATTCCAATTGCCTTCCTGTCTTCCTCTACGTTTTTATTCTTATTTCACAACACGCAACATCCTAAAATATTGCATGTTAAAAAATATGGAACATTTCATTGGATATGTTCATTTTGAAAATAGTTACATTGAAATTTCCATTAATTGTTTAAAATTTATTTGTAGACTAGGGTTACGAGATAAAAAATTACATCGACATGGGAATATGCTATAGCACGCATATACGATTCAAAATGGGTCTTGTTCTATCGTTGATTAAAGGTTTCTCTATAAAAAATATGAATCGGAGTTTACAATTTTGTGTTTGAATAACATCCTGAAGTATCTCATCTTATACATTTTGGTTATGTTGTACCATATTACACCATCTCAAAGAATTTATATGCATGTACAAAGTCATCTTATAATATGTGTTGGTATTAATTCTCTATCAATTAATATTTTCCCTGTTATTAGAGGAAGAAAAAGATAAAAGGTCAAAAAAGCATAATAAAGAATATGTTGGAACATATGACATTATTTTACCAAGAGAATTAATCGTCTGAGTTAATTGTGTGTAAAAATATTAGGTATTTATGAGACCTATATAGTGCAGGATCATAAATAGGATATGTATTCACATATGCATAATTTCTTGCTATCAATGAAACAAACTTTGACGGAAACATCTTTAAACCTTGGAATTGAATGCACTACATGAAGTTGGTGGAGAATGTGTACGGCTAAGATCAATAATTCAACATATACAAGAAGCATGTGGCCTTGAAATAATCAAGGGAAAACCAACATTACTTTACAAAGATAATACTACTTAAGGGAATGTTACATCAAAAGAGACCCGACTAAGCATATTTCACCAAAGCTTTTTTTCGCACATGATCTTCAAAGGGATTGTGAGACCTATGTCCATCAAATTTGTTCAAATAAATATCCTGCAGATTTGTTCACAAAGTCATGGCTGAAATTGTTGCCTTTGCCTACTAAAATTTTTGAGCAACTTTGCATACAAGAGTGGTTTATGTCATCTGATTAATATTTGTTGGTATCAGGGAAAGCAAATTATATATGAATATTGTACTCTTTTTATTTCGCTAAGTTTTTATCTTCAATTTTTTTTAGCAAGGTTTTAACGAGGCATATTCATAGTATATGGTCATCAAAGGAGAAATGTTGTAAAACACACATGTTTTACATGGTGGATGACTATCTTCATTAGGTAGCATCTGATGCCTTTGTGGTTACAACCGCTTGTATTCTTAAATAGAGCATTAACCTACCCATTATGTACTTGTGTAATCTCTTATTCTTTTATTCCTACATAAGGAGATGTATCTTACGAAGACTATAATAAGAAACAAATATTATAGTTAGTTCTGAAGAACTAGACTTTTAGAATCCATATTCCAATTGTTTTCATCTCTTTCTTCATGTGGCAAGAGAAATTTTTTTCCCTTAGTACATATATATTTAATCTTTTTAATAATTAAATTTTTGAAAAATAAATTACTTTATCATAAAAGATATTTTGGATAACATGCTATATGTTTGATATTTGTAAATATCATATTATGATCAGTCTCAGATTTTTTGGGCTAATCATGATATTGTTGTTGAAGATTATGTGAAGTTGCTCCTCCATAGGCTTTTGATGGAACAAGGTGGAGATGTACCTGTAAGACACTCTGATGTTTAAGTCAATGTATTTACCTTGTGTTTTGAGTATTTGTATTTACAATAGGGGATGATCAGCTTTAGGGAATTCCCCCAATCATTCCCATCAAGTGGATAAAGTGGCAAAGTCTTCATACCGGTTGTAAATGTAGGTGGCTTAAGATGTGGTTGCAGAAAAGGAGAAAATATTTGTGCAACTACTGTTGACTAAGAGATATCCTTGAATGTTTTTTTTTTCATTGTGAAGAATGTGAGACTAGGTCTCATGAATCTTTTGTGTAAAGGACTTAATTTGTTATTCCAAAATAGAATCCATGATTGTGGTTTAAAAAATTCAAAAAAAAAAAATGTAGATAACCGAGGTATCCATTCCCACTTAACCTCCTCTAGCCATTTTGTTCTCGGAGTACGGCTCATAAGACTAGCTCGTTATTGAAACATAAGGTGCATTAGATCAATATTACCAGAGGAAAGATGTGACTAATTTCATGTAATATTCAAAATGTTGCAATAAGATGTTGCAAAAATATCATATTATATTCAAATTATTTTAAATTTTTAAGATGTTGCAAAAAAAGATAGTGAAAATAATAAAATATTATTTTAATAAATTTTATTAATTTTTAAAAAGTAAAAATGACAATTGATAATTATTAATGAAAATAAAATAAATAAATCAAATACTACTTAAAATTTTTCTACTCGTTAAAATTATTAATAGCCAAAGATTAAGTGCCAGTGAATCGAGTTTCTATTTTTTATAATCAAAGTACTTTTATAGTTCTACTTTTATCAATTGCAATAACTTATGGCCAAGAATTGGTGTCATCACGTGCCGCATCAAACCGCTAATGTTATTTTGACAGTTAGATGGTGTAAAGTATAAACAGAATAAATATGTACACCTAAATATGATGTGGTGGCACCTTAGAACGTGTAAATTTAATTTATTTTATATGAAGTGTCCATTTCAGTATTTTTTTTTTTTTTTTTTAATTTATTCCGCCTACTACGATAGCTTTCTAGGCTTATCCATTTTTTATATTGATCCAGAAATAAAGGCATTTTCAATTTTCAGCTACCAAACTGTATTTTGGGCTATACCTAAATAATAATAAATTACTAGGATATGATGGGTGCAGCTGGGACCCATTTATGAATGGGTGAACACACCCACTCCCACACCCCTTCTTTACTACGAGACACCACAAAATTCTTAGGAATCCAAGATTCCCCTTTTGTCTCTCTTTCTCTTAATATCTTCCTCTGTCTTTCCTCCACACCTTGCTTTGCTTCTCTTGCTTTCTCCCAATCTTTGTTCATAATGGCTCGGCTCAACTCACTCCAAACTAGGGCTGATTCAGTTGGCCATACATTCTGATCAACAAGAGAATTTTCATGTTACATTTCGGAAAAATGACACTCAATTATAAGAACAAAACTTTCAATTGTTTATTTCCCCCCCTATAAGTAGCTTAATATGCTTTGTTAACTACCCATCTAAATTCTAATGTAAATTCTTGAAATAAACAATAGCCCATTTTTTATTTTTAATATTCTGATACTCAACAAGCCCATCAAAATCATGAAATGACAGAGATGATCCCGTTTGGGAGAAAGTTTGAAAAGTTAAGGGCCCTGAGAGGCTTAATATTTTCGTTTGAACAATCGTATAGAGTTTGACTGGCAATGCTTGTGGGCCACAACAAATTGGCTAATGGCTACTATGGATATGGCCAAACAAATGCATTTTTGTTGACAATTATAAAATAGCTGCAAAGTCTGATATTGTGGTCTTTTGGTGGTATGGGCAATTTGTTGATGGCTGTCAGAAATAGACAGTGTGTTACTTCTGCCTCCAATGTGATAAGGCATGTTGCTAGGACTATGCAGATTTAGAATTGGACTATTACTAAATTAATACTGATGGATATAGCAAGGGAGAAAGTAAGCAAGCAAACTAGGGTGGGCTGAAGAAAAGTCTTGTCATATTACTGGTAGGTGTGAAACTTCTCATGAAATTAAAGTCTTGGGAAATGAAGCTCGACCTTTTTTGCAAAGGAATATGAATAGAGAAGCTAACCAATACGCACATGGCCTGGCTAGTCTGAGCTTGTCACAACAGTGTGGGCTTAAAACATGGGATTCCCCTCCCTATTGGGTAATAGCCTAATACGGGAACCATTAGGGAATAAGGATAACTCCAATCAAATATATTAAGCGCAATCCACCATAATAAATGAACTTGACATTAAATTTTTATCCAAAACTTTAAGGTATTAGATTTATGTGTCCTTCCACTTATATTTTACTCGCTTAATCCATTTCTAATGACACTTCATTACTCACGTTACGATTCCCAACACTAAAAAAACAAAAAGTACAGCACAGGTATCAAACTGATGCAAGTCAGTCAGAAAATTTTCAAAGAGCATGGTTCACAAACGAAAGGAGATATATATAATAAACATGAGGAATGGAAACAGAGAACAGAAGTTAGTTAATTACCTCCGCATGCTTGACAATTGGAGTTTGGAGCCCTGAAATGACTTGTTCAGCATCATATATCACTCTGACTTCCCCACTATTTGTATCCTTCACATTAACAGTCCTGCATAATGAAATTTGATAAGAAATGTGGCACTACAATGTATCATAATTCTTGAAAAATCAATCCAAGCTCCCTTATTTTAAGCACCTAACTTGTGAATGGTTAACTAATTGTATGGCTTGATTAATAATTTGTCATTAATTAGTTTCATCCGGTCCAATGTCTTAAGTTGACTCGACTTTTCTAAAGACTTTTTTTAATATTTTATTACAATTCCTAAACATTTCATCACCAAAGAAAAAAATAAGTGTTAGGTATAAGCTTTCAGCTGATGCTTGAAGGGATTATGTGTACCTATCCCAATGACCATCAACTTCATATAGAACTTTGGATGATGATGAGTCAAGGATCTTCCCTTGGACCAATTTACGATTTCCTCCAAGTCCTAGAAAAGAATGGCTTGATCTGTAGGACAACTCAGCCACCAGGCCCGTCTCTAGGCATCGTATATTAACACTGCCAATCCAATTAATCCCAGGAACAGGAAGAATTCTTATTAAAAGGTGAGGACTGTTCATTTCATATGTTTCTCCATGTTTTAGGAGCTTCAGCTGCCGTTTACCATGCACTTGAGCTTCAATACATGTACCTACATATTTAGTTTGAGATAGATATTCACATGAATGTACAAAAGATTGCTGAGTAAGGGGCTAGCATTCAGAACTTTAAATCTAACTTGAAACGGGGTTTAAAAACTTTTTCTAGATCAATAGGGAAGAATACAAGGCTCCATGACCATCATGCGAAATCGTAATAAAAGTTTGTTTCATTAAGTGAAAATCATCTGATTAGCAGTCAAGCAAATGCAAAAAGGGGAAAACATGTCCCTTAATTAATTCTTTGCTGACATTTTGTACAATTGGTCTATCAATATAACTTATATGATCCTAGAAAAAAGTCAAGATACCACGAAACTTTGGAACAGTTTGATGGCACCATATCATTTCAATGTTCTCCTTCTCATCAGTTGCATGGAGGGCAGATAGAGGAGGGTCGATCGAAACCTGCAGAATGAAAACGTAAGAATATTATTTTATTTAAAATGTTTTATAAAGACAGGGTCAAAGAGGTTCAAATTGTAGTATGTTATATGTGGCCAAACTTAACCTTTACTCAAAAAGTGAAGTTTAAAAATAAAAAAATACCAACAAGGATGAGTTTAAGCATTAAGAAGTTTGTTCCCTCAAATCAACCTATAAAGAACCAATTTAATTCAAAACCTTAAATTATTAGCTGAAACTATATTAATAGTTCTATATTTCTCTACGAGACACCAACTCAACCCAAAAACTAAAACTATTAGGCAAAACTATATTAATAATTTTATATTTCTCTGACATTACGGCTTTCTATATAAGTCTAAGAATGCTTGAACCTTAGGGAATTAGAAGCCAGTACCTGCTCAAGTAGCACGTTAAGATTGCCCTTGGAAACATGGTGGGTCTCTCCAAGAATGGGATTATAGGGAGCAACCCCGAAAGATGATGGGCGAGTGGTAGATATGCTCCATGCTACCACTGATGTGAACCTGTCTAGTGGACTCTGTCCACTGTTGCACCTGCTCAGCAAGTTTGAAGCTGTGCAATACACTGATTCACCATAGCACTGAAGTTGAGATTTTGGGAAATTAAACAGAGGTGGAAGCTGCACACAAGCCAAAATACTTTAATCACTGATTTCTCCAATGTCTATTAGACAGTTTATATTTGCAATTATAAATATTATATCATTAGTTTAAGTGGCCATATACAAAATAAACATATGACTAAGATATTATTGTACTTAAATACATTATTATGTCTTATCTTTCATTTTTCCACTGCAATCAAGTGTTACTTTTAGGTTACAATTTGAACAATCCATGTGTAACTCAGTGTAAACATGATATAAAACACAATTTGTTAGAATAGTCAAAACCAGTGACATTTTTCAATTTTAGCTCTCAGTCTGAATTATTTAAGTAATTTGTTTTTAGTAGTGAAAGAGTAAAGTGAAAGAGAGAGTTCACTAAAAATAAAAATAAAAAAGTGAAACAGAGAACTTGCCTGGAAGTGGGTGAGATCTGATCCTGGCCGTACATTCTTGAGTAAACTTAATAAGCGACGTAGGAGATTGGGAGCTGAATAAGACGGGTCTAAGTCTGATTTACCTTCCAATGAGAAGGGCTTCGTCAGAAATATTTTGGACTCCTTCCCTTCAGTTACCTACATCACCCCCCCACCACAATATAACATCTATCATTTTCCACTGTTACTTGCAAATATATTTTTTTGGGTGAAATTACATTCATATATTTTTTATTAAATACTCGTCCTTTATGAATTATACAGTCACGAACTCACGATTGTGTATAGCTTTATTTGTAAAATAAAAATAAAAATAAATATCGGCTACTAGTATTATATTACACTATATCATAAACCACAAATACACAATATTTTCCTATAAACGGAGCCGTAGAAGACAGTTTGGCACCAATTACTAAGCAGGACACCAATACCCCAGAAAAAAAATACAAGGTCAAAGTTTTAGTAGAATTAATGTTAAGTTTTAGGCCTAGGTTTTTAGCAACATTGATGAAAGAATTGAAACGTAATCTGATAATGTGTTGAGTTTTGTATGAAGGCACACAATATTTTTAAAATGGCTCGTGTTAATTTTAAAAAATTTAAATTTTGTCATACGATTGTGATTGTTGTGTTAGGTTTTAGGGTTTTCTGAGAAATTCATGGCATCAGCGTAATTTTGGCACCAAGTTAAGGATGCTTCACACGCAACCTTTTCCTTAACGTGAAATGAACGCGAAAAGAAAAAGGAGAGGGATACAGAAGCCAAATAAAAATCAAGCACAACTACAACTAAGCTATATTATATTGGTTGGCATAGACAATATTATAAGGCATTTGTGAATGGACTAAAGAATCTCAACCTTTTTTTGTCGTTTCGCTTTCACATGCCATAAGGAGACAATGAATACAGCAAAATATTACTGACAAACAATGAACATTTATATTATATTAATATTATATTGCGTGATTAGCTAGCATGTCTCATATACAAAGAATATACGTGTATGTATTCATTGAAATACTTCTCATTTGGCCGTCCAAAGGCTAAAACCACCCTCTTAGGTGCCGGAAAACGGGCATTAGAATCAAAACTTATTTGAACAAAGAACAATAGATTTTATAACAAGCATGTTATATGGATCTGTAACACTGTAACACAAGCATGCCCACACATGGAAACAGAAGCAGACAGAACACATACCATCTTAGAGTCGAAGAAGAAGCAGAGTCTGACAGCAAATTGAAGAGAACTGAGATGTGAGAAAAACTCTGTACTCTAATTTAGACGTGTATCGCCACTTTGGTGTTGGGGTAAGGAAGCCAACTCTGATCTTTGGGTTATAGAGAGAGAGAGAGAGAGAGAATATGATGAATAATGGAGTATATATATAATATAATATATATGGTTGCTTTTCCCGATTAATATTTTTTTTCCTTTCCAAAAAATTATTTCTCAGATGGGAAAGGTATTCGGCTATTTGCAAGGGTTTGGAACTTGGGAAGTTAGAATGGACAAATATTTGATTAAATTAGTTGCAGCCAAACCCCATATTGATTATCGTATAGTTAATTAGTTCAATTGGAATTTATCTGATGAAAAATTCTCTTTTTAAGTGGTCATCCCCATCACTTAACAATCTCAACTAATAAATAAATATCGGAGCAATATTCGCTTGGGGTTGCAATATTGGGTCAATTTGTCTTGTTGAAATAGTTTCTGATGAGATTGAAGCTGTGCCATTAGTTCCTGATATCATACTAATTATTTTATGTATATTATACCTGCAGTAACCAAGTAACTATGTGGGAATGGGGCAGATACATGTAAAAACTTCACATGAAGAAGCATTTCAACATATCACTAAACAATACAAGCAAAACTTTATACGTGGAAGAAACTAGGGAATCACCCCCCTTAGACCTGCTTACCTTTACACCTATTCATAATTCAATATTATATATATATATATTATATCATATTTTTAGATGAATAAATCTAGCGCCAAACCTTATTCCCCCACAAGTTACAAAGAATATTACAAGCATTGCTTTCCTTTGCTGAACAAACTAAGCTACCGTGGGAATCCATTGGCCACAACAGGGATTCTCACCTTGTGCCCTCTGCTCCCTTTCATTAAAACCTCTCCAAAACTATAGGTTCCTGTAACTGAGCGAACTGTGAGTGTCACAGAAAACTGACGAGATGCACCTGCTTTGATAGTCATTGCAGGAGGGTTGACTTCAATGGCAACAGCTGGTTCCATTCTGGCTGTGATCACATAGGTTTCTTCCTCGGCAACGTTTGTGACACTGCGGGTGACAACTTGAGTTCTCACAAGATGGGAAATTGCGATAGATGGGGTGTTTAAATTTGATGGTTTGCCCATGGTATTGTTACATGGTGTGTGAGTGTAGTTCATTATCTCATGAACATTAATGCTGGGAGTTGTGCACAAGAAGCCTAGATAATCCTCGTATCCTGCAAAATGAATAGCAAAATTGGTCAAGCGGTTATTATTACTATTACTATTGCTATTATGTTTTGGTTTCCCCCCCAAATTTTGATACCAAAATTTATTTCATGCTCCCATTTGTTTGAGTAAATAGCAAACAAATGCAGAAAATGGAAGAGACAAAATCCCCAGCTTTGGTTAGATATTTTCATAAATGATTTCTATCCATGTTTTTTTATCAGTTTGATCAAGATTAACCGGTGGTTGCAAAAATTGGTTTCCAAGAAATTCATGTTTTACTAGGATTCTAAACTAGAAGCAAATTCATGTTTTCAAGTTAAATGTGAATTTAAACGTTTTAAGACAGAGAAAGTAGTTATAATAGGGAAGAAGAAATCAAACCTGCATCAAAGATGAGCCCAGGGTCCAAGGCGGCTGTTGGATTAACATGTCCACTCCCATAATCAAAAGGAGTAGCTTTGACCAGCTTCATAACTTCTGTTTCAGAAGTTTGCTGGGCTAGAAGAGGATTCCCTGCTCTGTCTAGAGTTGTTGATGTTGTCATCAAGGATGATTTAATGGCAGCAGGGCTCCAGTGTGGATGCTTCTGCTTTATAAGAGCAGCAATTCCAGCTATATGTGGTGCAGCCATGCTAGTTCCAGATATCATCGCAAATCCCTCGCCTGCACAAGCAAAAATTTACTTGAAATAAATCATTTCTATTATGTATCCATATTTTTTCTGAGTGGTTTTCTTCTTCTACCTTCCTCCCTCCTTTCCTTAATCATGCAATAATTCTTTCAGTAAAAAGAGTGAATGCTGACACATTTTCCCATTATTATACTAAAGCATCAATTACTAGAAATTAAATTTATCCAAATTAGTCTACCAAAAAAAATAAATTTATCCATATTAATTACTAATTTTTTTTATCTAAATGTAAGCTCAAAACAAAGAGAAACCCTTAACATCAAATATTCTTAGTTAGAGCATATTAGTTTGACAGCTTTTTTGTATACAATTTACATGTTCTATTTTTTTCTGCTAGGAGGATGTCTCATGTCTAGTTGGTTATCTTGCCTCTGTTATCAATGAATTTCTCGTGTAGTTGTATGTCAAGATAAACAAAAGAAAAAAAAATCCTGTTTAAAGCAGCAATGCAGCATATCATCCAGCCAACCACTTGCTCCTATGAACAATTTTGAAGTTTCAAAGATTTATTTTTTTGGGGAAAATTGGAATTGACCCTCAGATCTACCATGCCTAAAACCCCATATCTCACCATCCATATGAGCTAAAGCCCAGGTGGTGAGGCTCAAATGTATAATTGTAGGTTGAATTTTTCAAATACCAAAAGCAAAGTAGACACAACTTAGTCAAGCCATTACTTACCGACATAATTTGGCTCATCAGTTCCATTTGGACACCAAGCAGCCCAAATCAAAGAACCAGGGGCTAATATATCTGGTTTGAGAAGATCCGCCTCTTGGAAGCTGAAGTCCTTTATATTTGGCCCTCGAGCAGAGAATAATGCCACCTGTGGCGCAGATTTATGTAGAATAGGCATCAAACCATCGCCAATTTTACCTGTACCTTTGAAACTCTTCACCCGTCCAGTCCAGTCTCTTGGTGTAGAGATATTATAATAATCTATAAGTTCCTGAAAAAGTAACGATTTGTACTCGATCAATAGTGCATCTATTGATGAAAAAAGTAGAACAAGGAGAGATAAAAACAATGGTATAGCTGAGATGAGTAGCTGATGTGGAATGAGTTATGGACTAAGAAAACAGATTTAGCAGTTGCGATACTCAATCTACCTCTACATAAACATACCAGTAAAGATGAGTCTGAGTACCTTCGAATTGCTGACTTCTGTGATAAGAATCCCAGGAAGGCCAACAGGAACTGGATCAAATTTTGTTCCGGGGGAAACGTTTTCAACACAAAGAACAAATCCAACTGCACCAAGGGCCTTTGCTGTTTCTGAGACTTTCTTGATTGATGAAGTACCAACAACAAAGTTGAAAGAATATCCACAGAGAAGAATATTGCCCTCTATCAAGTTCTTATTTAAAACTTCTGGTTTCTGACAATCTGTGGGGCTGTACTTCATAACTGAAGAATCTAGCAGCACATCATTTGCAGCAACTAATGTATATGTTTGGTTTAAATGTGTAGAAGCTGTACAAGCCATTAGGCATATTTTAGCAACACAGACTGAGTCATGAGTATACAAGGGAAACTGGGAAAGAACAAATCAACTATGGACAACCATAAATATGTTTTGCCAAATAAGCATGAATTTACAGAACACTGAAATGAACTTAATGCTTGAGGAAGAACTGATGAATTCGCTTCACAACTAACATAGCATTCATACCTAAACCCCAATATAACAAAACAAACCTAATTGGTGAAGCTCAAGAGGTTTGCTTTACTATCATAACCACTGTTTTTTGCCAGAGGGGGGATTAAAGTCAAATTATATTCTTGATATTCATATATTTGAACTATTCTTTATTTTAATTAAAAAAAATAGCTTAAAAGATGAGAATGCTCTTGGGCATTTTCTGCAACCACCAGTACCCATTATAAACTGTTTTTTAAGACAATAAACCATGAGGAATAAAAAAAACAAAACATTTCATACCATACAATATACTAATGGGCTGCCAACATTTCATAGCACTATGTATACAAGCCAGTGCTCAACATTTTCATACAGTCAATGATTTTAGCAAATCATGAACAATATAATGCACAATTGCACATATTACATCCTCAGGAAGTACTCTCTGCCTTCTACAGAAAACCAGCATATAATGTTCATATTGATCCTCACTCTGCCAGAAGATATATTGAAAACAAGTCTGATACTTAGCTATGCCACTACAAAAATAATAATATATCTGAAGAAACATAGTAGGAAGTTGGAAAACTCACGTGATAACCCAACTCCAGCTAGGATTTTTCCATTTCCAAGGATCAAATGGTTTTTGTATCTACGATCATCAATGGCAGCTGCTACAGATGCTATCCATGGACTATATGAAACCAATGTCTTAGGAAAAGGACCACCGTTTCCAGCAGCCTGTGCAACAAATACTCCAGCTTTCACCGCTCCAAGAAGTGTAGCATCAAAAGGGTTCAAAAACGTAGTTTTGGTGGCTGCAGGAGGACTGTTGGGTCCAACTGAAAGGCTGAGTATATCCACTCCGTCATAGACAGCCTGTTGACTCTCAAATTTTGTAAATCAGAAATTTTGAAATAGAATATCAGCAGCAAAATATATATATACGAGACTGTATAACAAAATCATTGAGATGAATTTTATGTTGATTGCAGGAATTTAAAGCCCAAAAAAAATTGCTGCAATAACATCCTTTCCTGAGTAATGAAGGGAGCTGGGGGACTATTTTACGTATTTCTTAGGTCAATGTATAATATACTCGTATACCTGATCAATTGCAGCAACTACATCGGCAACAAAACCTCCAAACAGTCTATAGAGTGCCTTGTACACAGCAATCCTGAACATAGAAGCACCAAAGGTCTAATGCAACAAAAAAGACTTCAGTTACCTGCTTTTAATCAATGAAGGGTTTTATTACTCACCTGGCACGAGGAGCCATCCCACTTGCTTTCCCAAATTCATGGCCATGCATCCTCACAGGAATTCCATTATTTCCAGCAGCAATAGAAGCAGTATGACTGCCAGATGAAGATGCAAGGAAAACAGAGGAATTGTTAAAAAAAAAAAATGTTATCAAATTAAAAGATATGGCTTTAAGCATGACTTCATGAGTGCTAATATTATCCACTTCAAATGCTTTAAAGACATAGAATGAACAATAACTGTTACCCTCTAAGTTCTCAGGATTTGCTCATAAGCAGGACATGACACATTATGTTCTCTTTCAATCTTGTAGGCAAGAAGACACGCGAAGCAGTCCAAGGGAAAGTTAATAAATAAAGAAGGTAATGGTGCCTAACCTTCCGTGTCCATCTCCATCCAGAGGAGATGCAAAATCAATTGAAGGGTTAAATGCCCCTGCAGCTATTGCAGCTTGGGCAAAATGTTGTGCTCCAACAATCTTCCCATTACAGTAACTTTTTTTAGTATCTGGATCAACTTCACATTTTCCTCTATACTGTGGAACTGGCCCATATGGTTCAGTATGATGAGTTGCAAAGCTTGGGTGATGAGGATAGATCCCTGAGTCCACAAATCCAATCACTATGTCTTCACCAGCCCGATCAAAGCCACCTCCTGTTGGCCAAACCCCAGTTGGAAGCCCTAAAAATTGTGGGGTATGTGTAGTAAGTCTCCTCACTTTCCAGTCCCTCTCAACAGATTTCACTCCAGGAGCATGTCTTAGAGTTTCTGCCTACTAATATAAGTGGATAGCATAAGGAAATTAGAGGGAAGAAATTAATTCAAAACATATTATTGCTAATTATAGAATAGTAAAAAGATAATAGAAGACTTCACCTGCTCTGGGGAAATATGAACAGAAAACCCATTTATAAGATGTCGATAGCTGTAGAGTTTCTTATATGTCCCTTGCTCAAAAAGCATCCCAAGAAGCATATCGTGTTTTTTTTCAAGATGACGAGCATAAGAAGTAACCAATTCACTGGAAGAAGTTTAAATTGCATTATTTTCCTTAGAAACGAAGAGATAAGAAAAAGCATCAGCTGTAAATAATTTAGCACACAACTTTAGCTGAGCAACAGTTGAACAGTTAAAACATTGCTTTCGTTGTTCCTAGAGTGTCTAAATTCACTCAAGAAGAAATCAAATTAGACTCTTCAAAAATCTATTCACATGTTCACTTCAGCTCAGCTAGCAACAAGTCCAATCCAAGCCTCAGAAAGCGATATCTCACTGGAGGAAAAAGCTTACCAAAGGAACATCTCTAAGAAGTATTAAAAGTTGAGAGAAATATATACCTTGTAGTATCAATCTTCTCATCAGATTCCACAGCCGTAGCTTCAAACCCATCAATACCTCCAGCATAACTTATGATAGGCTCACCTTCAACAGTTACTATGTAAATCTCAGCTTTCCCAGAAACCAGAAGGGCATATAGAACAATCAACACACACCCAAAGCCCAACAATCTCATTTTCACTAATCAATCGCCAACTCCAATACTTGACAAGATCTGTTTCATGGTCCAATCAATGCGAGCCAATTAGAGAAAAATGGTAACACAAAAGCACAAGTTGGTTCCATATTTTAAAACTGAAACTGAAACGACCCATTTGAAGTTTTTAGCTCAAAGCAACAAACTTTAACAATGCCACTCACTCTGATCCAAGTAGCAAGCTGATGCTCACATCTATTGGAAGCAGAAAAAATAAAAATAAAAATAAAAAAAGCACGTGAAGCTGCAAATAAACAGAGGCCAATATTAAGAAGAAAGGAGTATTGAAGAAGAGAAAGCAAAGAATCTTTAAGAGTGAGAAAAGCAGAAGAAGTTGGTATCAGAGAGAAAAGCGACATGGGAATAGTTGTACATGTTTTGATTCACATGCACGCCAATGCAATAACTCACATAGCGGTGATCAGAGATCTAATGGTCACCGTTGAACCTGAATGCCATAGAGTGAAGAGTGAAGAGTGAAAGAGTGTTAGGGTTTTTCTTTGTTTAATTCAATTTCAATGGAGTTGATGGTTGATCTTCAATCTTGATGCAGCAGGGAAGTAATATTAATATTAATAATTAACATTCATTGTTTATCATTATTATTAGAATCATTTTGTTTCAGATGTTCAGACTTTAGTTAATTAAATAAGATGGAATTATTTTTGCTTTTCATTTTTATTTTATTTTTGTACTTTCAGCAAATTTCTGAGTTTTGGGTTCTGATTTCTTCGCAAAATTAATCGTAATAAACAGGTACGAAGGGGACATTCGCGCGCAGGCTGTCGGAGACGGTTGAGACGAAAAGACGACAATGCCCTTGCAGTTTGGTGGCGTTTACGCGTGTCCGAAATCACATTCACAGCGACCGGAAAAGGAGACATGAATTCATTATTACTCCTATTATTGTTGAAATATATATTCATATTTATTACCCTTACAGCTAACAACAAAGCCAAATTTTTTTTATTCTTATGTGGTAGCATAAGTATCTTTTAAAAACATAAACATTTAATTTTTATGCATTATAACTACCATATAATTTTATTTTATATATATATATATAAAGAATTATATTTATCTTATGTTATATAAGATAAATAAACTTTCTACACAGTACACACACAAAATGGAGGTGGATCTCACATTTATTTTTTTCTCTCCTTTTATATATGGATCTCATTTGTAATTTTATTTGTATAACATAAGATAATCATTTTCCTACAATATCATATATAAAAGTTATGTAGCACAAACACCGACATGGGACACGGAACACGACACTCTGACACGTTAATTCTAAAAAATGTTAAATTTTGACATGTTAGGACACGTTTTGATATTAAATAATATTTTTAATTTATGCAATGTATATTATATTTAATATTCAATTATTTAACAAAAAATGAAGCTAAACTTATAATAGCCATCAATTTTTTCAAAGAAACATAAGATAATCCAAATATTTATATTAAACTCAATAAAGTGGTAATTGTAATCCAACGAATCTAATAATTGAAACTAAAAACGCAACACAATGCACCTTTGAGCCTTATTTTAAGTCCCTACAACGTGTGTTGGAGTGTCGGAGAGTGTCAAACACGACACGTCAGGATTTTTAAAGTATCAGTGCTTCATAATATAAAAGTATGTAAGTTTTATTTCTCTCTCTTTTCTTCCATAGGCTTTATATACTTTTATATTTATGTAGAAAATAAAAAAAAAATCAATAACATTAGAAATATTAATTCATTTTTAAGAGTTATTCATTTGACATCGAATCCCAGCGAGATTTACTGTCTAACACAAAAATATTATATTATATGATAATTATGTTATTAGTGTTAGGTTACTCATTTTACATTAATTAGTCATACTCCTGATCACATGGGGCACCCCTTTCATTATGTGTATTACCGCGTGGATGCAACTTCCTTCAAATCGATGGGAAACATTAATAATAAAGTTCCAAATTCAAAACCCTACCACTTTAAATAAAAAAATTCTTGGGATTATAAGTTTTGACACTACTATAATATGATTTTGATTACGTTCGTGACTTTGCAAATTAAACATTGAGGACTGTAATCATTACGGTGACTATGGTGTAGATATTATCTGACTTTTGTTCTTGTGAACGTTTTGTGAAATTTTATTTAATAATCTCGGGAGTCAAAAGGAGAGTTTAGGTGAGTAGACTGAAAGAAAGCTTTAATTTATCTTCTTCGAAGTGGATATATATATATTTTTTCCTCATGATCATAGTTGATGATTGCGTCTTTGAATATTTTTTTAGCAATGCAGAGGATACGCCATATCAATGCATGCATCTATTATTAAGAATAACGAAACTTAATACCACTATTAATTAATTCACCAAGATATGTATGCTTATGTTAAGTTATTAAAACCTTAATTTGTTTCTAAATGTTCATAATATGAGTAGAAATAATATTTATACTATTTTTTTATTACATCAAGTTATTGACAGTTTCTTATTCTGAAAAATAATAAACGTGAAATAAATTTATGAAAACAAGTCACAAAATCAATAACTAAATCTTGAATATTAATTAAATATTAAATATTTTTTCGAATTTTTAAAAATTGAGTATGTTATAACTACAAAACCAGAAACTGTTTTTTTTTTTCCTTCTTAGAAACAAGGATGCTTTGGGAATTAATTATGTAACCAATGGCATCGAGTTGGATTTGGATGCAACAATCAGAGAAGGAAAGGATTTGGATACGAAAATTAGGTCGAATAAGGAAAAGGAATATAACACGCCACTTTAATTGATAGAGTTAGCTTGTTTATCACTAAATATACTTACAAACCGTTTTATTTGGTCATGGAAATTATAATCACCAACAAGCTGATTCATGATCAAATAATTTCATATGTCAAATGTGTAAAATTTAGTTGGTGTTGTGATGTTGACATTTAGATTCGTTTTAAGATATATTGGGCAAAACCTACCCAACCAGTATTATTGTCATTTTGTTTTCTTTTAAAAAAAAAAGAAAAAAAGGCAAATGTATTAATTAAACATAAAATAAAAGCATATAAAATTTCTAGCAAGTTTTTCTTTTAGGAAATAAACAGAATCAAAATATGAAAAATGGAAATGAAGGGTAAGATTGGTAAATTTGTTGCATTGCCATTTGTTTTGCAGCCACGCTGTTGTCATTTCAAACAATACTTATTAGGATAAGGGAAAAAAAATTGCATTAACTTGCATGTATAAATGTATATATGGTCCCACAAAATAAATCATATGCATACACACAAATAGCTTTCTAAAGGCTTTATGAATTATGATTGTGGTGGAACTTCGCTCTAGTAATTAAGGGAATGGAGTTAAGATGCGTTGAGGGAGAGATAACTATCAATGAGTTGAATGGGTTAAGTGATAATTCATTAAAATAAATGAGTTCGGTAATATATCTTAAACAAAAATAAAAATAAAAATTTATGAGTCATTTCATTTATAAAATTTTTACTCAATCCATTTTAATTAATATGAGGTTTGATCACTCGCACTTAAATTTTCATACTCTCAGATGTGTCCTGTTCATTGGAATATACAAACGGTATTTCTTGTTTTTTTCTTTCTTTCTTTTTGGCCACCTATTAGTTCGGGAGATGAAGTGAAGTTTATTTGCTGATGGTTGCTTTCAGCATTGCACATGTTGGGAGACCCACCACCCTTGTCTTTATGCTTATACATCGCATGTGATCTGAGATGCCCTTATCGATGGAAGAAAATGAAACTGAATGATTCCAAAATAGATCACGATTCATATGTGAACTCGTGAAATGTCAAGGGAAAAGAGATGAATCAAAAACACAAAATCATGCAGATTTTTGTTAAAGGGAAAAAAATAAATGAAAATCTCCTCTCTCTTTTTTAAAAAAATGTGATCAAATTTGGATGAGTCTACAAAGCTAGAAATTGATCTGGTCCAAGCAGAAGATCTGCAATTAAATGTGTTGAGGTTGAGTTTAAAAAGTTCACTTTAGAGATGCATGTTGGAATTAATGAATGAATTAATGTACAATGATCCATTGGTTATGAATAAGAAGTGGGTTAATAAAGAAAAGAGAAAAAGGGAAAATGAAGAGGTGTGTGGGTTTCAACAAGTCCCACATTGGACAATTAGTAGGAAATGGGAGAGTATATAAGCTCCCACTTCCCTCTCTTAGATTGGCCCTTGGGTCACTACATGTTTTATGTAGGGGGAATGCTAGGTGAGCATTGGTTCACCATGCGCCGCCGTCCGGCCGGCTCGGCTCGGCTCATAGTGTGTAATAAAAAATAATTTTTTATTAAATTATTTTTTTGTCCAAAAATTCTTTCCCTTCGTGAACCAGTCACCGGTTGTGTCTGCTCGCTGAACCGGTCACCGGTCGTATCTGTTCCTCGGAACAGTCACCGGTCGCACCCGTTCGCCGCCATCAGACACGGCGGTTCGTCGCCGGCGACTGTTCATCGTGACCGGTCATTGTCTATAAATAGACACTGACACCTTCAGAAATCTATCCAGCTTTTTCTGCACTTAAACTCTGCCGGAATTTTTCTTCTTCCGGTTTTGCATACTGTTGTTCATCCTCCGGTGTGACTTCCTCTGGCATATTGTTGTGTTCGTTTGGGCTGTTGATTGGTAGTGCCACCATTCTTCAGACGAAATCCGTTCTATCCTGGGAGACAAGTGTCCATCAACCTTAGGCATCAGTGAGGGGGCAAATTGTCTTAAGGAGACACGTTCTGTGGGCTCGGATTTAATTCCTCTGATACTGCATATATTCATCCTTTCATTCTGTCTGTTTCATCATTCTGCCACTGACAAGTAAGTCTGTTTTTAATATTTTTAATTACACAGTGATAATTCTGATCATCTACCTCCTCTGCTTTATACATGGGTTCAAATCTATTAGTGATATAATATCACTCACTGTCTTCGATAACAATGCATAGAGCCCGTTTAAATGAGTTTTTGAAAAAAAGGATTTTTTAAGTAATTTTTTTTTTCAAAATAACTCTTTTTAAAAAGATAAAGTGGTTTTGCATTTGGATGTATGATCTAAAAATTACTTTTATATTAAAAAAAGTTGTTTCAATGTGAAAATAAAAAAAAACTTTTTATATA